AGCCTGAATCGCAACTGAGTGTTGCTACATCGACTGAAAAATAGTCTAACTCGCAACGGAGTGCTGCTACGTCAACTGACAAATAACCTGACAAGCAACAGAGTGCTGCTACAACAACTGACAAATAGCCTGACTCGTTTTCCGTAAAATATTTAAAAATTTTTTAGATATCTTATCAAGTATTATTTTAAGAATTTATTTGTGTATTGGTGAATTAATTGCTTTTCATATCTATTGAATTTTACACAATTGATCTAATGATGCATAAAATTGACTGCAAAAAAAATTATTCATATGCTGACAAAATAGGTCATTATTTCAGCATAAATCGAGCGACTTGAACAATTAAACTAGTTAGCAAAATTAAAAATAGTAATTTTTTAAATACACTTTATACAATTCTTAGAAATAGTAATTTTTTAAATGTTGCTTTCTTGACGCCACAAAATGGCATCAAGAAAGCAACATTTTTCTTTCCATCAACGGAGCCTCGTAGTTGATTTGAAAAATCAAGAAAAATCCTACCATCAGATTCAAAAAGAAACAGGAATTCTTTTTATGACAGTGTCCTCAAAAGTTAAGAAACATAAGCTGATAGGAACCGTTGCTTGTGTGGCTGGCAGAGAACAAAAATGCAAGACCACTAGCGCAATTGATCGCAATATCATCATTAATGTGAAGAAAAATAGATTTGTTTCGTCAACTAAATTAGCTTTAAAAGTTCAAGAAGATCACAATATCCGATAAAGTTCAAAAATAGTAGCGAAAAAAAGAAGCTTCTAAATTTAAGTTGTTTGCGAGGTAGTGTAAAGTATGGAGGAGGAAATGTGATAGTTTGGGGTAGTATGAGTTGGAAAGGAGCGGGGAAATCAACATTTATTGATGAAAAATGAATGTTTCGATGTATTGCAAAATTCTTAAAGCCAACTTGCGACCATCTACTATAAAATTTGAGAATGGGAAACGATTTTATACTGCAGCAGGATAATGATTCAAAACATACCGCTAAGAAAACAGAAGAAAAGGTATACTTTGACACAAATAACATCAATGTTTTGGAATGGCCATCTTAAAGTCCGGACTTCATTCCTATAAAAAATTAGTGGTATATTTTATACAGAAAAATTGGTGACCGAGTATTTAGACTTATAGACGTTATAAGGAGCACATGGGATAATATAACAACAGAAGAGACTCAAAATTTGGTCAACTCAATGCCAAATTGTCTAGCTGAGTTCATCAAGGCCAAAGGAGGCCCCACTCAATACTAATTTCCATAAAGTTTGATCATTTTGACATTATTTTTGAACTGTACGATTATTTTTTTTTGCTGTCAATTTTATGCATCATTAGATCAATTGTGTAAAATTCAATAGGTATGAAAAGCAAAGAATTCACCAATACACAAATAAATTCTTAAAACAATAATTGATAAAATATCTAAAAAAAGTTTTTAACAGAAAACTAATTTTTTTGATGCTATCTTTAAAATTTTGATTTTTTTTCAAGTATACGATTATTTTTTGCATACTGTATTATATATATATATATATATATATATATATATATATATATATATATATATATATATATATATATATATACATATATATATATATATATACATATATATATATATATATATATATATATATATATATATATATATATATATATATATATATATATATATATATATATATATATGTGTGTGTATATATATATACACTACACACGCACGCACACACACACACACACACACACACACACACACACACACACATATAGATAAAGAACTTTTTGTTTTCTGATTATTGAGTAATTTATATTTTCTTTTGCTAGTAAAGCTGACGAGACTTCGGAAGGAAAAACGAAAAATATGGCGCTGGTAAAGTTATTTGTCGACTAGATGTTGTCTTACGTTATGTCTATGTTGACTATTCTTCATTTTCCTTACAAAGTTCTGTTTTATTTGTAATAGGTATGGGTCCAATGCGACCGAAAATGTTTCTGTATTGGAAATGTAACGTAAATGATAAAAATGTCACACAAAAAAGTGGCTATGACAATGGCAAAATAACAATCACAAAAAAATTCAAAAATTTCATAAAATTTTTTTGATGAGTAAATATTTGTAACTATAAAACTTAAAATAAATGAATTTTTTTTGTAGTTTTAAATTGTATATGATATTGTTCAGTTAGTGTCATAAATGTTGTTATGTTATATATTGTTTGTGGGATTTTTGGCATAAGCCACCAACCATCAAACAGAAAATACTAAAAAATTTAGCTTTGTTGCCTTCGTCAAAAGAATGTAACAAAAATATAGAAGTAAAATAGTTATGAGAAGGCATTCAATTATATTCTACAGAGTTTTTATTTGATCAATGAACAGCTGTGGTATTCATTTAATGCTTTAACTGCTATTTATTGTGCGATTCAAGACATCAGGGGGTGGGGTTCTTTTTAAAATACAACAGCGTAAAAATATCTTTAAAAAGGTTCTCTTCCAAATTTAGTCAGGGTTATTAGAGAGCGGGCACGGGGCTATATTATGTAATTCAACACTGTTCATTGACCCGAAGCTAAATTTATCTTTATCGATTTTTTAATTAGTGTAATAAGTATGAGTACCTTAGAAAACAAATTAGGCAAAGGAGAGAAACCTATTCAAATAGAAGAAAGTTTAGCAAATATAGATCATACTAGCGAAGATGTTGACATAAGTGAACCACTTTTAATTGCGTCACTTGTATCAGACTTAAAATTTAATGGTTTGAAAAACACTAGTGAACTTTTTGAAACCGCGTTAGAGTTGTTTGCATTTACTAATGTTAAAATTAATAGCGTTGAGGGGACAACTCAATGTTTCAAGGCAGATATTTCTGCATTACTTACTAATGAAAAAGAAGCTGAAACATTTTTGAATGATTACTGTGAAAGAAATCAAGAAGTCTTAAAGGTTGCGACATCAAGGTATTGAGGTTTTTTAATAACACAAAAAATGTGTAATTAGCTATCTGTTGGAAAAAATGTCAATTAAATATATTGACCTATATAACTACAGTGATAAGTTTTCATAAATCTTTTATGCAAATCTTTCATATGCCATAATTTGTTGATTATTCTCATAGGCATCTTGGAATTAAAAGCTCATTCAGTTTTTATAAAAGATATCGCTGTCATCATAAGACCAGATATAATCCAACAACTAATGCTTCCTTTATTTTGCAAGATAATCCTTCAAGAAGAATCAAAAATACAGATTGTCCATATTCCATGACAATTAAAATTAAAAAGAATAAGGATGCATATCCCTGTCATATTATTCTTGAATACTCCCACAATCACTCCTTGAAATCATTGCAAGTGAATAGTTTCAAAGATATATTACCTGAAACATCAGAAAAAGTTTTAACACTTTTTGATAAAGGTTTCACACCAGGTAGGTTTTAACTACTTCATGGAATGCAAATTATTTTGTTTTATGCATGTTACTATGTTTTATGCATGTTACTATATTTATGCGTGTTACATTTACTGATTTTTATAAACAAAATAGGTATATTAAGTATTTAATTTCATTTTAAAAAGGATTTGCTTATAAAGAATACAATCAAAATCTACTGTTTGAATGCAAAGATGAGCTTGAATATCATCGGTTAAGATCTGATCGTTCAATTTGTCCAAGACGTCCTGATTTTAACAGGTTATATAACTCTTACTGTAGAGAAAAATATGGCTCTAAAAACGGGAAAGAAATGTTCGAGCATTTGGAAGAAAAAATAGCATTTTATATTGATAAATTTCCTGATAGTTCTGTGCATTTCCAACGATACGAAGAAAATGATTTGATAACAACACCGTTAATCTTAGTTATAGTAACGCCCTTAATGAAAAGAGTTCATACTATGGTGAGTACTCTCTTATTTATTAAACACTGTTATTATTTTTTAAGTTTTATAATGATGATTTTATACTTCGAACGCTAATTATAGGAAAGTCATGCTTCAGAAATAGTATTTGTTGACTCTTCTTCAAATATGGATGCAAACAATCTTAGGGTTTTTATCCTTTGTACTCATAGTGTTGCTGGTGCTCTTCCTTTGGGATTAATAATTTGCAGCGACGAAAAAACTGACACCTTGATAAAGGCCTTTGAAACATACAAAGTTTTATTACCTAAAAATGCTTTTTTTAATAAAGGAAATGAAATTGGTCCTGATGTTATGCTCACAGACAACAGTTCAGAGTTAAGAGATGCATTATCAAACGTTTGGCCTTCCTCATCATTATTGTTATGTACTTTTCATCTTCTGCAACAAGTTTGGCGATGGTTGTTCGATATCAAACACCAAATTGAAAAAGTCGATCGACCGATTATCATGTCAAATTTTAAAAACACCGTTTACGCCGAAACAATAGAGAAGTTTGAAGTTGCTTTTTCGCAATTGCTATGCGACAATATCGTTAAAAAATACCCTAATCTAATATTTTATTTTAAAAATATTTATGAGTTTAAAAAATGTTGGGCTCAAGCATTTCGCTCGACTTTACGAACACGTGGTAACAACACCAACAATTACACCGAAGCTCAATTTTTAGTTATGAAAGATTTAATTTTGCAAAGAGTGAGAGCATATAATATTAACGTACTATTTGACAGTTTTACCAACGAGTTAGATCAATATTATAAAAATAAACTGTTATCTACAGCTAGCGGATCTTTTGATAGTTACAATACTCCTCGATACTTTGGTAAATCCCTAAAAAACAAAGTTGGAATCGGATTTGTAAAGCCATCCACTGAGCAAATTAGTACAATGTTACATAATACACAAAATATCGGCAGCAACATATTTGTTGTTCCTAGTGCGTCTGGAAAAAACAACTATACGGTAGATATGTAAACCACAAGATTCTTATCTACAAACTACGTAGTTACGGAGTAGTTCACTCTAATTTAAAGTGGCTTCAATGTTATTTAGAAAACCGTAAACAAGGTGTACCATATGATCTAACATGCTCCCCATTTGAATCAATAAGTTGCGGAGTTCCACAAGGATCAATACTTGGACCTTTATTGTTTTTAGTTTATATCAATGATATTTTTTTGTCTTCAAAAATACTTAATTATACTATTTTTGCTGATGATAACTGATGAATATATTTGCACTAATGTTTTCTTTTCTGACTCAAATTTAAAAAATATTTTTTATTATGTAAACGCTGAACTAATATATCTTAATGAGTGGTTTATAGCAAATAAACTATCATTAAATATTGAAAAAACTAAATATATTTTGTTTGCTAAACCATCTCAATCCGAGAACCTTCCACTTAAACTTCCAGAACTAACAATTAACAATATTAAAATAAAAAGAGTTTTTTCAATGAAAATACTAGGAATAAATTTCGATGAACATTTAAATTGGAAAAGCCAAATAAAGTTAGTCGAGAACAAAGTTTCAAAGACTGTGGGGATTATGTACAGGACAAAACATCTTTTGAATAAAATATGTTTAAAAAACTTATACTTTTCATTTATACATAGTCATATTAACTATTGTAATATTGCCTGGGCAAACAATCATTCATCTTTCCTAAAAAATATTTATACTAAACAAAAGCAAGCAAGTCGATTAGTTTTGGGCGCAGATAGGTACGAAAGTGCCAAGCCGTTACTCAAGGAAATTAATGCGCTAAACGTATACGAACTAAATATATACCATAACTTGTTATTTATGTTTAAACTTCAAAATGAACTAATTCCAAAATATTTTTATAAAGGTTTCTCTCTAATTAACCATAAATATGAAACAAGACACTCAATAAATAATTACTACATCCCATCAACATCACTCAAAAAATCTGATTTCTCAATTACATGTCGGGGGCCACGCTTGTGGAAGTCAGTTCTTGACGAAAATATGAAAAAAATAAAATCTATTGATATATTCAAAAGAACTATAAAAAAACACTTACTAAACTCAAACATTACATACATTCTTTCATTTTTTTAAAAATAATATTTTTTTGATAAATTTGATAAAAAGCTTTTTTTTTTTTTTTTTTTTTTTTTTTTTAATATATATATATACATATATATCTTTCTTGTTTGATTTTCTCTTTGACTGTTTTTTTTTTTAACTTTTTTTAATAAATACTAACAAATGAATTTAAATCTACATAACGTTTGGAATCTTTTTAATATATAAATATTTTTGAATATACTTCGCTTTGTATTGAATATGTATACGTATATGTTCTGATTTGTAAAAAAAAATTCAAACTTTTTAATTTACGCATTGTATACATTTTTATTTTTTTATTTCGAGATTTAATTATTATTATTATTATTTTTTTTTTTTTCTTTCTAATTTTTACTTTTTTTAATTTTTAATTTATTTTAAACTTTTTAATTTTTTTCAATCTTTTTACTTTATTTCAAACTCTTTAAATTTTTTTATTTTTATTTTAATTTTGTTTGAATGTTTGTTTATTTTTTCAAAATTTTTAATTTAACTCTTTTTTATATTATTGGAATTTTAGAAATTTTATATTTCTCTATTTCACAAAAGGGCTTGATGATAAGACTTTATGTCTTCTACTTGCCCCTGTCAGCTTGTAATTATATATATATATTTATTCGAATTTAAAGATAACATTGTAAAATGTGTAAAACGACAAAAAATAAACTAAATTAAATATGAATATTGGAATATGCGAATGTCAAGTTGGGAAAAATGGCGCTCCGTGTAAACATCAATTTGTGCTTTGGTCTAATGGCATTTCAAACAGTTTGAACTTTATGCCGATATTCAACATTGACCAAAGAAAATATCTTGCTGAAATTGCGCTTGGGAAAAGTTTACCAAGAGAGTTTTATGAAGGACTTCACACCAATGATAACTTGTGCGAAAATAATTTTGACCTAAATTTGAGTATAGAGTTGAATAAAAGCAGCAGTATTGCCGCTAACAGTGGTGAAGCTTCAACCATTTTTGAAAAAGATGATACACTAAGAGAGGAGGCTCTTCAAGCACTATCAAGTTCATTTGAAACTCTACGTTCAAAAATAATTGTTGGAGACAAATCACTTTTACTTGGGATTAAAAAATTCAAAGAAAGAGTAGAGAAAATGAGTTCGAGTTTACTTGCAACAAGTTTACATACATTCGGTGTACAGCAATTTAGTCGTCAGAAAACTATGTATTCACGTCCCTTAAAAAATTCCAAAAAAATAAAATTAATGTCCAGCCTGGTGCAGTGAAGCGTCGTAAAACAAACAACGGCGGAAAAAGGGCTTTACAAAAAGGAAATTGTTCATTTCTTATGCCCTTAAAGACTCCATCAAAAAAAAGAAACCATAAGCTCTCGGAGAACGTTAAGAACAACGAACCAGTTGCTAAAAAAGCAGGACGCAGCTTAATGAATTGATTTAAAGAATATATAAAAGTTGACTATTGAAGTTAATATAAAAGAACTTTTCGTTGCTTAATTTAAAGAACAAAACAGTTTCACTTTAAACTGTTTTAATAACTAACTGTTTATCTGTGATAAATTTATTTATGAATATATTTTTGACATTTATTTTCGAAAATGACTAGTAGAAAGTCATTACTAAAACGATTTGTTGTTTGACTTCAGAATTAATTTAAAGTAGTAAACAAAATGAACCTTTTAAACAATCTTTTTAAAATAAATAAAATTTGATTATTAATTAGGGGTCATCAATATAGTATGTCACGCTACATTTAAACTTAAAATAGAAGTAAGAGATTACCTTAGTGATTAGACCCGTTAGTGATATAAGATGCAGCACTCGATATATTCAAACATAAAAATATTTTATCTTTCTATATAACAATTTATACAGCATATAACATATATACAACATATACAATAAAAAATAATACTTCATTTTACTTTGTATTTTTCCGCGATGGAGCATTTTTTGAAAAATCGTCCAATTTGCTGTTTAGTATCAGCGTTTGAAACTTTTTCAAATTTTCTTTTTACAACTAAAAATAAAATAAAATTTACTTGCCAAATAGTAAAATGTAAACTAGCCCAATAATTTTATCGAACAAAAATCTAGAAAATAATTTTAATTTAACACAGATTTTTAATCAAATACTAAATAATATTAAAAAATATTAATGTTAAAACTATTTTTATTAACTTCTATAACATCATATAGTTTGGTTGAATGTAAACCAATATTTCCGCCAGAACCTTTTAAGTTGAACTGTGTCAACAGGGTATTTGTAAATAATCTATAAAACATATCAAATAAATAGTAAAATTTATGAAAAATATTAAACAATTTACCATTATTGATTTCCAAAATTACTAAACCTAAAAAAAAATTTACAACAAAAAAGTACAAAAATGATAGCCATACAAAAAAATAATACTAAAACCTATTCATAACCAATCTTGTCAGTTATTTAAAATCTTCGGCACCTAAAAAACTGAGTTGTTTAAAGTTAGACAAAATAATTATAATACAATAACTATGTTTATTTTTTAATTTATATAGATAAACTATTTACCAAATCAAGTCTAACACAATCATCCACTAAACTTTTGTTAAAATCCTCTGCAATTGTATCTAACTGCTTGATTACAATATTACTTTGTAAACCTAAAATAAGCACAGATTTGATTGTTTGAAAGAAATAGAACCAGGAGATAAATTAAAGTCAAAGGATCTCTTTAATGGATTTTTCTCCACAGATTTAAAAACTGGCAGAGGCAAAGGAAAATCAGGTAACTTTAAAATATAATAATTTTATTATTTATTTTTCATATAGTATTTAAAAAAGTATATCAATTTACAATACAGATTTCATATTAAAAAAAGAAAAAGAAATAGTAAACATGAATATAATTATATAATGTAAATACACAATTAACATTACTTTTCAATTTAAAGGCACTTTTGGAAACACAAATATCTGTTACATCTTCCTCCTCTGCTGCAGTGGTGTAACAATTTTCTTTCAGCTCCTCCATATTATCTAAAAAAATTAACACAATTATAAATCCAATATAAACATCAGATATTTTAGCAGTTTTTTACATCATTTATATTGCCAGTATATAATGTATGCTTGTGTGTGAAAATTTTAATAAGTTTATATTTGTTCTGTGTTTCATCCACATCTATTTCTTCTTTAACAGCTCTTCGATAAGATACACCTGCAGACCAGAATAACAATTTTTTTTTGTATCTATCCATTTTCTAGCCACAACATCTTCTATTTCCTCATAATTCTCTATCCAAACAGCTCTTGCACAAATCATGGTGTAAATCATAGTGTAAAAATTACATTAAGGTTAAATCATAGTGTAAAAATTACATTAAGGTTTAAACTAAAAAAACTTTAAAACCTAAAAAATAGTCTTTACAACAAGTTGGAATAACAGTAATAAGTTTCAATAGCAAAAATATAACTGTCTTTAAATTTATAAAGCAACAAAAAGAAATAAAAAAAACCATTAAATTAATAACTATGGTGATAATCATGGGAAAGAGCGTTAATTTGTCTCAAGAAATTTACAAAACAAACGAAAAAAAGATATTAAAAAATGGTATTAAAATAACTGTCTGGGCTGTTTAAATTTTTTAATTTTTGTAAGCAATAGAAATAATGTTATAGAAATTAAAACTCTTAGACAAATGATTTTAATTTTACCTCATTTTTATTTTAAATTTTTTATTTATTTACTGATTTTAAATGATTAATTATTTTTAAGTTCAAAAAACTTTCAGTAATAGCATTTAAATATATTTTTAAATGAAGCTACAATAATCTCAATTAAAGATGATCTTTTTATTTAAAATTATAACCTTGTAACAAACAAACAAGAGAAATAAATTAAAATTAAAGTTTAAAAAGAAAAAACGAATTACTATTAACATATATATATATATATATATATATATATATATATATATATATATATATATATATATATATATATTTATATATATATATAATATATATATATATATAATATATATATATACATATATATATATATATATATTTATATATATATATATATTTATATATATATATATATATATATATATATATATATATATATATATATATATATATATATATATATATATATATATATATATATATATATATATATATATATATATATATGTTAATACTAATAAAGATTGTATTCGTTGATATTGTTTGGCTATTTGAACAACAGGACTCTTTGAATTTTTTACTGCTTTTTTTAATGTCTGCATAAAATTTTCAAAAGGAAAACAGGATATGTCATTTAGTGAACAATCAAATTTAACAATATCATCACAAATATGAAGTAAAGAGTGAGCATTGTAAACACAGAATGATTATGTATATAAATGTTTTGAATTTATAACAAAATAATTTAATGGTACTCTCGCGAATGTAAGATAATGCTTTCTAAATCGATTGCCCTCATTTAAGAGAATCATCATTAAATTTCTTTGCTAACAACACCCTTTAAAACTAAGGGTCCAGTGTATAAAATAAATTGTCTAAATTCTGTAGCTTTCCATCGATCTGACTCCAAAAGGGAACGTGGTTGTTGACCAAATTCAGATGGCATCATACCACATAAGCTTAACAGATTATCAGGTATATTTTTTATTTGGGCATTTGAAAGTCTACAATGTTTTGGACCGGACTTTAAAAAGGTAAGTATGCGTCTTACTACACCAAGACAAACCATGTGCATATAATCCAAAATAAAATCAGAAATGCAATATATTTCAATTTGAGCTAAAGGACCTTACTGTGGCTAACTTGCTAATCCGCATTATAGACACAGGCCAATTAACCATTAGGCAGGCTAGGGTGCAGCTTAGGACCCCATGATTTTAGGGGCCCTATTTCAAAATCGAGGACTTTTTTTTGTTTAGTCCACAAAATTAGATAGACAAAATGGATAGACAAAAAAAAAGTCTGATGGACAAAGAAAATCCTTATGGAAAAAGAGAAAAGCTAATGGACAAAGAGAAAGACTTATAGACAAAGAGAAAGGCTGGTGGACAAAAAGAAAGGCTAATGTATAAAGAAAGTGTTTAGTCAATTTGATTATAAATAACATCAAATAAAGCGCAGTCTTCGTAAGAAGAGGAACGCAAAAGAACAAAGAGAAGGATGATTGTAATTAAGAGTATTCACACCTGATTTTAAATAAAATAGATGAATTGATATGTATGTCTATACCTAGCCCAATAAAGTGACTATTGGCATTTTTGCAAATCAAAAGGTTAATAGCCATTAACAATTTCATGGTAGATTAAAAAAAAAATGAAATAAATAAATACATAACAATAATTAGTAACATATTTAAAATATATTTCCAAAAAATTATATATTTTCAATCTATTTTACTAAACTTGGAGGAATAAACTTGCACAGCAATAGGGAAAACTATAAAACATTGTTTCTTTTACGAGCCTTTCCGCTATGCTGTTCTTTAAAATGTCTTTTTAAATTTTTCTCAGCACTGAAAGACTTGCTGCAAGAATGGCATTCAAAAACTTTTCCACATGACTTCTGATGCCGGTTTAATTCTTTCTTTTTTTTAAATAATTTGCCACATTGACAAAAAATATTTTCTTTGTTGTGGTGACTGGCAAGTTTCTTGTAATGCTAAAAATATTATATCAACTAGATAAAATTTAAAATGATCACAGTTATATATTTTATATTAAGAAATAAACTTAGTTATATTTTATGTTGATGATTGTTCAATATCTGCCCATCAGAAAAAAAAATTAAACTGTTTTTGGTGAAAATAAGGTCGACAAGAAAATTTTCTTTGTTATATGTATACCACATTCCAAAACCGTTATGCCATTTCCCATCATGTAAGACTTGAAACTACAGCAAACTATATGTATTAACCATATGTATACATAATCTCATTAATTCTTCATTGCATTTTACTTACTTTATTACATTGACTATAAATTTGATGAATAAATGCAACAATACTCAAAAAAGTACTCAGTAACAATCTGAGCATAGAGAAATAAATTTATTGGAAGCGGATCTTGATAATATATCTAGAAAAAGCAGATATACCAGAAGAAAGTAAACTTGAAGTCTTATTTGTTTTATATGGAGTAAAAGCTTTTACTGTAATTCAAAATGCAACCTCATATAACAATACAAAAGTAATTTTTGACCACAAATTTCAAAAACAGTCAACGGCGATAATGATGTATCACAAACTTTGATCACTTCCGAAACACAAGGGAGAATCTTCATGCTGAAAACTTCATAACTAATTTCAAGCAGTTTGCCAGAAAGTGTCCAACACAGTCCCTTACTGCCAATCAACATAGAAGTTTGTTATTATGAGACGCATTTATTGCAAGACTATTATTCGACAGCGACTACTCGAATGTACAAAAGAGAATCTAGATGTACTTTACAAAAAAGCCCTTACTATAGAACTGGTTGCTGAAGATGCTATTAATGTAACAATGACAACTAGGACTGCTACAACCATACTACAGAATTTTGCAGCTACAAAAAAGCAAACAATTACCAAAACTTCTTGTTGTGGAATGGCTGATACAGTATTAACCAAAAATCTTGATCCACTTTAAGAGGTAGACCCATCAGCAGAGTTTAGTAGTTATGCAATTCCGGTTCAACAGCAATCCTGGGAACAAAGTAGAAATCAAAGGACTATTGTCCCTAATACCGGCAATCAGTCAAATGGAGATTGGTATGTATTAAAAGAAACCAGTGAAATAGTTTCAACTCCATCAAGTATACTACATTACTTGTTAGTTCAGCATTTCTCTCATTGAAAGGAATAATGACCATGGACATTATTATTAGGACTTAATGACCATGGACAAATTCAAAACAGAGAAGACTGTTATATTTATAGCGCATTCTAAAATCATTAACTCATTTACTGTTGTTTAAGACCTGATGCTTCAGCGAACCATATATATATATTAATTATGTTCTATCATTAGCTCTATCATTGGGTTTTACTTACTTCAATGTCGTTATTGTAGTGACTTTATATTTTTGATTAAAGCCTAATATTTAACCTTTATCGACACGACAAAGGTTAATACTCTATTTTATTGCTGGTTCACAACAGTGTTATTTAAAAATAATAATATTTTCACCACAACAGATAAAGCATGAGATCAACAAGAAGTGTTCGGATTCAGACAATGTCAGGTTGGCAGTTAGGTTGACATTGTAGAATTGCCCATTCAAAGTTAAATGTTAACCCAAGTTTAATGCGGTGTAGTGGTAGAGCACTTGCCTCATAAGCAAGAAGTTCCAAGTTCGATCCCCACTATGTCCCTGGTAGTACAGTGCTTGACTTGTTTCTCAGTGCAGTGGCCTTGTTCGTCAAGGTTGGTGTTTCGCTGTTATAGAGGAGAGAGTGGGTTATAACCACAATTATAGTAGCCACCGTGATTGTAGTGGCCTACCTGCGCTTGGGAAGGTGAATTAACATAAAAAAAAAAAAGTTCAAGGGCTGGTCAACATAAATGTCACTTTTCTAATTAAAATATTATGATATATGTTAAATAAACTAATAAAATGATATGCTTAGGAAAATAGTTTTATTTGAATCAGGAATAAATATATTTTATCATGATAACTATTAGGAGCACTTATTAATGTACAAAATAAAACATAATATACCTCTAACTAATATTACCTCTTTTTGCATTTTGGAGCATTGTTTCCAAGCATGTGCAAGAACCGTAGATCTTAATCCAAAATCTTCATTTGCATTACTGCTATTTTGAACATTTAGATTATCCTATTAATAAAAAAAAATCTCACTTATAAATTAATATAAATAACGAAGAGAAAGAGAAAAATCTCTACAATCAAAAAGAAGATAAGACTATCAGTCTGTGATTTCTTAAGGTGTTGCAAAAGAAAAAGTTGTAAATGTATTAATCACTGTAGATTACTTTATTTTTCATGTAAAACATGTTCCAAGCAGAAAGAGGTTTTGAACTTTTCTTTTGAATTGTTTCTGAAATTAAAATAGTTAAAAAAACTGTAAAATTGCTTATATTTACTAACTTAAGGTTATAGCCTATAAAATGATCCCTAAAGTACCACCTCAAATTTTTTTTGTTCTAATATGTTCTAAGGGTTCTAATTTGTTTTGGTGATTTGTCAATATATATAAAACAACTCCAAAAATGGATTTGGGTGAAAATCTATTAATCTATTACAAAATACCAAATGATCGCCTTTTCTCGACATTTTGGTCATTAGTGATTTAATCATAACTTTGAAATGAGCTAGAAATTTAGTATGAAATTTTTAGGATTGCGTATTTTTATAAAATCTGAGGGTAGTTTATATTTGAAAAAAATCTATAGTGGTACACTGTGAAATTGTTAAACAAATGATAATTTTATATGAAGTAACCCTTAAAGTATTTAAATATCAGAAAAATTTCCTAATACAGTACAATCTCTCTAATTTATATCTCCTTAATTCCAAAACCTCTATAATTTGATTAAATGCAAAGTTACCCTGAAATGCCTTTATCTAAAAAATTTTCTGTAATTCAAAAATCTCTGTAATTCAAACTTTTATTTTCCCCCATAAGATTTAAGTTAGAGATTGTACTGTATAATATTTCAATTCAATATAAAATTGATGACTTAAAAATTGTTTAACTAAAGGGGTTGTTGTTTAACTAAAACAACAATAATTACTTCTAATAAGAGTAAGCAGTAAGTACTCCACACGAAAAATATGAAATAAATATAAATCAAACATACCTTTTTTTTTTGTCAATGTAAGTGCTTCTGGTGATTGGTTTAACTTGCATTCATTTTTATCCATGGCTGAATTTTTTACTATCAACTAAATATGACTAAAAACATGCATGAGAGGTTGCTATTGCAAATTAGCAATGATGAACCAAGAGTTTACTTGGGGATACTGAAGCTGCAACCCCTATTTTTAAATATTAGTGGCAATATAAACTAGCTAAAATAACAGAAAACTTGTGAGTCAAGGTTTGTGTTTCGGAGCATTGTGTTGAGAGAGAGTTTTAACCTCAAGAAAAGCAGCCTCCTCGACTGTAGTGGCCTTCATGGCCTTGGGGAAGTGAATTGAAATATAAATATAAATATATATATAAAATAAAAAATATATGTTTGTTTGTACAAATATTTATATGTTTGTTTATGTGTGTGTATATATATATATTATATATATATATATATATATATATTCCTGATGAGCCTTTTGATGGTGAAACAATTGTTTCGGCAATACAAATGAGTATTAGATTTAAAGTAGCAAAACACTTCAATATAAATTAATTAAGAATGGTTACTAGGTCAGAATTATCACTCAGACATAAAAAAAATTAGATTGTTTTGTTGGAGTTTTTAGTTATATTTTGAATTATAAACTTATATTAAACACTAATTTTACAAAATGTTTTAAATGTGTTATAAAGATTGCCTATGGTTTTTGAAAATAAAAATAGTAACTTCATTGATGCTCAGTCTTTAACAAATAAAGGAGTATAAAAGAAATACTATTTTGTTATTTCTGGCTTTAGTCGCAGCAGGTTTGAAAAATTAAATTAAATCTGAATAAAGACAGAAAATTTTACAGCATTACTAAAGAAAAAGCAAAATAATCTACATAAAAAGCTCAATACTATAAGAATTTTTAATATTATAAGAATAGTCTGTTCATTAAGATTAACTGCAAAGTACAAAATATTAATTGTATTAAAATTTTTTCAATTTAATATATTCTGAAATTCTGAAATAAGTTGTAAAATTTCAAGGACTTTTACAAATAGTACAAGTACTAATCTAAAGTAAAAACCTGCAACATTACAATAAAAGTGATCATAATAATAATAATAATAGTATTGATAATAATTATAAAAATAATATTAACAATAATAAAAAGATGACGATGAAGAGGAATATTATTAGTAACAATACTAACAATAATAATAAAGATATTATACAATCAATATTAGATAATAGCAATAATAGTATTAATAACAATTACATAGTATACGTAGTAAATAAACTTAAGAAAAAAATTAAAAAAAGCAATAATAATATTTATTATGTTATAAATAAAAATAACAATTTACTAATAAAGATAGAAGAATATTATTAATATCAATACTAATAATAACAATAAAAATATGAGAACAAAAAGTTAATAATAAAACTAGTAGGTATCAAGAAAGTAGTAATAATAAAAGCATAACAACATATTTCAGAGTCTTCAGGTATAATATCTTGCTAGGTAGACTGTTCCATGATTTTACACTTTGGTATTTTATGGATTTTAGACCATATTTTACAGAAGAATGATTTGGTACATGAAGATTAGCAGCTATTAGCAGATCGTAGATGATAGCGACAGCTTTCTCAATGTACTTTTGTATAACCAACCGATTTTCTTTTTTGGAAACATTGTCACTTGAAAGTTTGAGGATGGTATCCAAACAATTCATAATTTCAATACCTCTACCTCGCGATTTTGCACCAGGCTTCAAAATCCATAGGTTTTGACAACCATCAATTTTCATCTGAGGAAAGTAGCTGCTTAGTTTGTTTAAAACAGTTTTGCATTCATTTTGATACTGCCATCCATTTTCAATATAGAAATTGTTTCTTGCTACTTTGTAATAATATTCTAAAAGTGAATTCCATAAACCATCACTTATATGCTCGTTATTGTCTTCTTCAATATCCAGATGTGCTTTGCTTTCAAGATATAAATGACAAGCTTTTATGGCTATTTCAAGGAGCATTGGCGACAAACTTTGTTTGATACATTTAGACATATTTTCCATACTAACATTTTCAGAATTTTTAATTAATGCCCACTTCTCACTTTCTCCGAAAACAATTTTTAACAGTCCTTGAGCTGCTGCTATTCTAAAATCATCAATAAATTCATCTCTTTCGTGCTGACAACAAAGTCTATAACATCTAGGAGAAAAACTGTTGGCATTAAGATCATCAAAGTGATGGAGATTTCTGAGATGTGAGCATAAGCCTGATTTTGTAGTAAATGCCCAAGCACAAGTGTAATGATTTATAATTTGATCCTTATGCAAAGAACGAAAGCCAATGTCATCGCGCTTAAGAGTCCATATAAATGTAGGAACAGCATTTCTAACCAACCATGACATAATTTCAAAATATTGCTCATTTAGATTTTCACCAAATGTATCTTCATTTAACTCTGAATCTGGACATTCTTGAGTTAATGAATTGATTGCTTTAAACCGTTGCTCAACCCATCCTCTTCTACGTAAAGCTTTGCGCAAAGATGCATATGGTCCATTACAAACAAACACTTTGTTATTCTGCATAGCAAGGTATGCTAAATTCTTCATTTCTTGCATTTTTTGATAGTTCTCATCCATTTGATTAGTCTTCTTTGATTTATGATTAAAAAATTCGCTGTACTTGTTTTCTAAGCAATTTTTTTCATTTGAGGAATGAAGTGTAATAGAACGAACAGATAGGCGCTTTAAAGAAGAACATGTTTCATTCAATGATCTGATATCTTTATTATTTTTATCAATTTTGTGTAACCTAGAGACTTTTAAACCATTTTCTGAAACATTGTTCCGGTGAAATATTGTGTTACTTGTAAAAACAACAGGGAGATGGCTTTGACTTTTAGATTGATTTCACTAAAATTAATTGCATTGCAATAAAATTAAACTAAAATTAAAAGTGAAATTTCTATTAATAGTTCATTTTGCTTAAAGTATAGTTAATATTTTAAAATAAAAACATTTAAATAATCGATTTAAAAAAGCTCGCATTTTCAGAATACTCGTTAAAAGTTTCGTTAAAACGCACGTGCATTTACAACTGATAAAGCGTTTGTTTATAATTTTCAAACTGTTTCGTTGGTTCAAAATTTACTTTTACCGAAAATGGGAGCCACCGTTTAAATTGGGAGCCACCGTTTACGAAAAAAAAGAACGCGTCGACGTCAACTATTGTACCCCTTGTTAAATCGTACAAAAAGTCTTTAGATAGCCCGAGCAACTATCGTGGTATTAGTATTATACCAATTTTTACAAAGGTTCTAGAATACCTGATCTTAATTATATGTCCGGATATTAGAGATACTCATTCCCTACAATTTGGATTCAATGCTAACTCTTCAACGCTACATGCTGAATTTCTAATAAGCAAAACAATTAAACATTACAACAGCAACCATTCCCCTGTGTATTTATGTTCTTTAGATGCAGAAAAAGCTTTTGATAGCTGTAACTGGAATATCCTATTTGAAAAATTATATTTTGATAAAAAATTACCACTATGTATAGTTAACATTATCTCCTCATTGTATAACAATAGTAGCGCAACAGTCTCATATCAAGGTTGTTAATCAAACTCTTTTCCTCTAAACCAAGGAGTAAGACAAAGATCAATTCTTTCGCCTTACCTCTATAATATTTACACTGAAAGTCTTCTCGAAACTATTAAAAATCAGGGTATTGTTGGCACATCTATAAACGGTAACTTTACTGGTGTGGTAGCCTATGCGAATGATATAATACTTTTAAGCTCTACCTTATCTGGTCTCAAAAAGCTTATAAAAACATGCAATATTTACAGTAATCTAAATTGTATTAAACTGAATGCCGAAAAGACTGAGTTCTTGATCTCAGGTAAAGCCCAAATACAAACTAATACAATAACAATTTCTGGTAATAAAAAAAATCTTCAGAATAAACTTAGACATCTGGGATTCACATGGGATACTAAACATTCAGTTTTTGCTTCACTCGGTTATTCAAATGTTGATGAAAAAATATCAAACTTTAGAGCTGTTCTTCAAACTCTTATTCAATCTGGAATCCGGTTTTCCCACCCCAGTTCTATTTCCTATATATATAAATCATTGGCAGTCCCCACCTTAACTTATGGTATGGAGCTATGTGAAAATAATCCTGGTCTGATGAAAAAGCTAGATATAATTGGAAGGAGTGCGCTAAAATCGTTTTTAAATGTTTCAAAACATAGTAAAAACTATATGAATTCGTTATTTAAAATCCAGGAAATTTCAAAAAGTGTTCAACAAAATAAGTTAAACTTGTTCCTTCGACTTCTTAATAACAAAACAACTGCAGACATTATCTTTTCACAACTGCAACACCCATTATTTCAACATTCGTTTGTTAGTGATATTCAGGAACTATGCCATCTTCAGATATTAAATTTTCAAAACCTAATTCAAAATAAAAAGAAGGTAAAAATACCACTTTCTAAAAGTAAAATTCCTTCCAAAGTTGAACGAAACTTGAAGTATGCAATAGAGTGCTGGAATGCAAAAGAGCAAAGAGGAGTTTTCAAGCAAATTCTGGAAGAAAACGTTTTTAAGCAAAGTCATCCGAAATAACTTTCTTATTTTTTTCTTTTTACCTTGTAAATTGGGTGTTAAATAAATAAAATAAATAAAAATATATATATTTAACTTTTAATGGTTGTACACGTTTTCTTATGAAAGCACGTCGGGGTGTAGTGATAAGGCAAGTATTGTCTTCTTTTAACCCCGGTGATGTAGATCTTATTTATATTACACGGCATTGTATTCTTTTTTTTACTGACGAAATAAATAAATAAATAAATATACGTAACATTTTTAGACACAAAATAAGATTTTTTAATATAATTTGATTCACTTACAAGTGAACTACCCATTTTTAATGGAATCTGGTTTGGGACTTTAATTATTACTTGATGTTAGAGCAAAGTAAAGTAAATGCAAATTTTATACTTTAATATTTCATTAGTGCTATTTTTTTTTATCTACTATGATAAAAAACTTTATGCAAATAACAAAAACAGCAGCAACAACACGATATTTATTTTCCTCAAAATTTACAATTATATAATAATAATAGTAATAATATTTAAAAAAATAACAACAACAATATCTATAATATTAGCTATGCCGAAATACCCGTTTTATGGAATCGAGTTTTGTGCTAAAAATCTGTTCCAAGTTTTTAAGAGTTTGAATATAGCCAGTATGGTAGAATGGTGTTTTGTTGTTTTATTTTTTAGAATTATATAGTAACGTAGAGTTAATTTAAAAGCAGAATAGTTAAATTTTTTTATAGAGAAGTTTTTTACTATATAAATGAACGTTATAGTATATTTTATTGATATCAAAAACTATGTTGTATTTTGTGTGATTAGTAAATGTTGAAGATTTTTTTTTTTTCTATCCTTTTCCTTACTGTAAGTTTATATATTTTCTATGCACCTTTCGAATTTCAATTTTTTATTTTGACCAGCATATTCCCTTTTTTGTCACTCACTTTTGGTACCAAAATTGAGTTTTTCCAACAATAGGAGAAGCGAGAGGGGGGAGAGAGGGGCTAAAGAGAAATTTAAAATTGAATAGTAATTATTAATATAACATTTATTCTAAATGTTATATTAATACTTACTAATCAATTAAATACGAAGTGAAATATAGTTTTTGTATTTTTTAATAGATTTACTCATTTTAATAAAGATGAAAATATTTATATTAATTATTTATTTTTGATAATACGCTGTGTTAAACCATCACACCACCATCATCACCACCACCATCCATCCTTAACTCAAAAATACACCTCTCATTTGAAAATGGTCTGGTAGCAAATAATAATAATAATTTATTGCATATAAAAAATACAAATTTAATTAAAATAAGCTCGTTTTAGTTTAAAAAAAGAATTTTTTAATGCTATAAATGATGGTTTGGTTCCCCCTTTAGCGCCCTGATTGGTTGGTTAAAACTATTATAAATTTGTAGCCCGCTTTTACACCCTACTTTTTATACCAAGTTATAGACGTTTTGATCAGAATTGACAAAGTTATAACAATTTTCGTAAAAATTATGTATTTTGACCACAGTTTCTTCAACAAATCCATATATCAAAAATTTGCTACTTAAAACCTTAATATAACTTTTAAAATAACTTAAAATAACTTTTTGTAGAATTGTTCAACTTTCATATTTTTTTTCACCATTAAAATACTGCACTAAAGCTCTTTCCTATGATGATATATAACTATCTAGTAATTAATCAATTTAAAATATTAATTTAACATACCTAGTAGTATCATAAATAATAAAATCATAATATCATATCTAGGTTTATACAGTTTTAATTGCTATCTCTAAAGCTATGGTGATGGTTTATATTTTGGACAATTTAAAAATCAACCTAATATACACAGAGTATATGCAAATGCAAACGCCATAGTGAATTCTGGTGTATTTTTGCAGAACAGTATTTTTCAAAAAGTATTAAAGTTTTTGTGTACAAGAAAAGAAAACGAAAGATTTTCAAAGTAAAGAACAATATTCATCATGTTTTCAATAACATTTTTGTGTATTATTTTATGTAACATGGTTTGATCAATTTTGACGATGTTCCCCATCTAGATTGTCAGGAAAAAAATTTATAAAAACGAACTACTTTTAACAAAGCTTGAATTAAAAAGTTTGCAAAATAGTGTATGTATTTATGCTCTGTTGTTGTACATTTACTATAAATAAGTATGTGAATTCAGAAATGGAAATTTAATTATGGATTAAAGTTCCATTGTCGCAATTGGGATAAAGTGATTTAAGATAATTTAAAGAGTTACTAATCAGGTCAAGATAGCACCTGAAAATGATCAACTTTTTGTTTAATTCTACAAAAATACCTTCTTTTTTGCCTAATGCATCTTTATATTGTAAAAGGAAACCAAATCTATAAATCTAACTTAATCAGATCACAAAAAGTTTACTGCAATAAGTAACATTATTTGAGTAATGGAACGAAAAGTTTATACTGTTCCTAAAAATAACATAAATAATAACATAATATAATTTTTTAAAAAGAAAATTAACTGCTATTTACTTAAAAAATAAAGTGTTTTTAAGCAAAGAAAAAATTTTTTTATCGATACAATTAATTTACAATATTTAGTAATATATACAAAGAGATTTAACAAAAATAAATGTTAACATTGAGAAAATATATGTTGCTGATCCTATTGAATATACAGATTTTTAAAAAGTTTAACAAAATTCAGATTCATGGCTAAACAAAAGAAATTGAGATAACTGCTGATTTTCTAGTTGTTTACAGGGAAAAGTTTGAAAGCATAACGTAACACACTATTTTTCACTATCTGATAATAAAAATATAGATATAGAAATATTGCTGAAAAACAGACAGCTTCCATAAGCTTAAATACAATTTTGTATCAAATAAAATAATACTTTTCCTGTTTGTGTATTTTTGTTTGTGTATTTTTGTAATGACAAAAATCAAGAGTGTTGAAATTAAAAATTGCAGATTGAACCTTAAATTGTGTACAGTCTGTATCTATATCTACATCTTTAAATTGTTTACAGTCTATATGCATATCAGATTGAGGATTCATTCATTTGGCGCAATCTTTTGACTAGAATTTAATAACTTTTATAATAAACTCTTAAGTTCCGTGCAATGTTTTAGGTTAACCAAGATGACGGCCGTTTTAAAAACTGATTTCAAAAAAGTCACGTGACATCTTCTCTTGTTTATTAAATCTTGACCACACTACACGACATATACTTATAAAGATAAGGGTGACCATTCGTCCGACCAGACTGACGACGAATATCCTCGGAGGATATTTGTCTGACCAAAAAATTAAATATTTAAATTTAAAATTCTGCATCTTTGATGTAAGCGTGTAGCTTAGTTGTAATTGATATCGGAGGTTTCGAGGCCGTAAATTCTAAGTGCGCCGGTTCAAGTTTACAATGACAGTTATTTATATAGAGAATATTTTGTAAATTAATTTATTGTTTTGCGCAGTGAAAAAGTACTTACTCACGTTTACAAATAATTTAAAGTATTCCCAAAAGAATACGTTTTGATTCAATATTTTTGCGTGACTGAAAATTCAAGAACTCACTTATTATTCAAAAGTTTTGAATTTGGATCACATTAGAGTGTCAAAACCAAGTGAAAATGCAAAAAAGATTATATTAAAGTAAGTACTAAGCAAGTATTTTTGAAAACGGATAAAATTCTAGTTATAAAATTTATATTTTTGTCGTAAGAATGGTCAGGACTGATTTACGTATGTTTATGTTACGTAACAATTAGCTATTGTTCGCTACACCCCCTCCCCTCCCTCAGCGGGCATTTGTTTTTAAAAGTTACGTTCTAAATGTATTTTAAATGTCTTTCAAACGTCTTCTAAACATTCTCACGCAAAGAACGTAACTTTGAAAAAAAAATACCCGTAAGGCCTGTTCTTACGCTATCGCCCAAATAACCAATATAGTTAGTGGCACAACTTATATATTCAGCAATGCAGCTTTTAGATTTGGTTGGTTTTTAACGAATGCTTAAAATTTGGTTAAAAACCAACTTTGGTTGGTTTTTAACGAATGCTTAAAAAAATTCTAACATTTTTTTAAAAAAATGTAACGAAAATAAAATACTTATTATTAATTTTACACGCATATTTCTTTAAAAAAAAATTATTCAAATCTTGTCGTATTTGATTATGGTAACTCAGTAAAAAAAAAATTAAAAAATTATATTATATATTTATGTTTTATATAATATATATAACATAATAATTTTTTATAAATAAAAATTTTACGCAATGCGGCACTTTTCAAGCCACAAATTAATCTGGTTGGACGAGGTTATTGTCCGTTAAGCTCAGTGACCTTAAATGCTTTTTAAAATTGTCAAAGAGCCATCATGGTTTTCGTAATTTAAATAAAGAAAAAGTATTAGAAAAAGTTATTTACGTTTGAAATGTTTTAAATCTCCCAGGCAATACCAGAATCCATTTTAAAGTTGTCAAATATCGTCTATTATTAAAAACAATGATTTATATCGGGTTATCAATTTAAACTAAACTTCAAACGGTTTTTGATTCATCTAACATAAATTTATGATTTCTCAATCTTATATGATTGAGAAATCATAAATTTATTTATTAGAAAAATTTTCAAGCAACAAAAAACTCAACAAAAAAAAAAACTCAAAAAAAAAAAAAAAAGAACACCATAAAAACAATAAGAAAAACAATAAGAAAAATGACAAATATTGTAAAGAAAGAAGAAAAAAAAAGTAACTATTCACTTAATCCTTTGTTTTATTTACTTATAAAGTAAATATACAAAAATATCTTTTTCATACCTGATTCAATAATCGCAAGTTTAGTTTTTGTCTTCTTTGAGACCAGTTTTAGCAAGGCAAGAAGTTGCACATAACTTTTTTAGTTAATATTAGATTTAACCCATAGGCTCTCTCTCTCAAAAAAAGAAAAAAAAATTGTGAAATTGCGCGGTTAGGTAATTATTATTGTTCATAATTACAAAAATCATTCAGCTTCGTCAATTTGAAAAATGAGTTATTTCTAACAGCAAATTGCACACAATCTTTCTTGCAAAATATATAAGTATCGTAGGTATTGTGTCTAAAATGCAAATAAAGTTACGCGATATCTAAGGCCCACATATTAAGGCTTAAATTGAAAAACATTTGTCGAAAACTATGACGGGATCTGTCACAGGGTTGGAAAAAACCCAGGGTTTTTTTAAAAAAAAAACCAACCCAAATGGGCTTTTATGGATTTTATTGGGTTTTTTTAAAAACCGATCAAAATACCAAATTTTTATAATTGTATGAGTACAATAATTTTTTTTTTAATTTCATAAATTCACCTCCCTATTGCTCCAATGACCACTTCAGTCAAGGGAGCAACTCATTTTTTGAAAATATTTTGTCTCAGTCCTTAACATTACCATTTTTACTAACAAACAACATTAACAACTAAAATTTTTAAACAAAGGTGCTGTGCGGAGAAATAGATTGAGCACAGTAATTTCAACAGAGGTAATTTAAATCCCAACCTTCTGGTTGCCAAATGTTTTACTACTAGTCTACTAGCACATTTTACCAATAGTGCAAAATGGGACTCCGTCAACTATAAATGATGTTAATTAATTGCACTAAATTAAAAACATGTTCAAAATATTTTTGACCAAAAAAAAATTACTATAAAAATTATTATGACAATTGAGTTATTCAAAATTGGTAAGACAATATAAATGTTGCAAACTAATTTTTTTAATAACATGTTCAGCATATCATTTCAAAAACTATTTTGCACAAGTTTACAAACATGTAATCAACAAGTTTGCAACATAATGTTACAACCTTGTAAGTTATTATCAATCACGTTGACTATGAATACTTTTTAAACATTTTTGCATCATAGAAAAAAACTGTTAGCCTAATTACTACATTTTTTTTGATCAGAACATTATATTGTCCAGCTTCCTGGAAAAGTTATCGGCCTGATCAACTAGACTTAGGCAAAAAATGGACTTTTGCCGCCTCAGTTTTGCAACTGAATCAAAGTAACACATTATATAGCTCTATTGTGTTCGTGTTTCTTCACCTTTTAGCAACTTGATACTAATGTTCATTTTCAACCCGCTGTTCATAGTCACCCCTGTTGGTGGTACATGTTGTAAACTTGTAGCTGATGCAAAATATTCAAAACCTGTCAAAAGACAGATGAGCACAAGTATCATTTTTACCAACAAATTTTGTCCTTGTGAAATGCATACAAGTTTTCAACATGTTCTCTTATTGAATAAGCAAACATGTTGCAAACTTGCTTGCACATAACTTAATTTCTTTTAAGTTTTAAAGTTGTATGCACTTAATAAAGTCAAGTCTAGTAAACTGTAGCACTTTTTTTTTCCTGACAACTTTCCATTTCTAAACTGTAAACAAAGCTTAATAATTTTTATATACAGTATTTTGCTTGTGGCTTTGTACTCAAATTTGCAGTTTACAACATCCGCTTTAAAAAATAAAAGATCAAATACCAATATAAAGAAATATAGACATAAAAAAAGTAATAAATAACCAAGTTGCTACAAAAACAGATTGATCGGTTTTGGATATATTCTAAATACCATTACGTATATAAATACAGTGTTTACAAGAATAATTACAGTATAAAGGTTGCACTTGCTGATAATAAAGCATTTATAAGTGTAAAAAGAGTTATCAGTTGTAAAATAGGACGTTTTTAAAAAAACCCAAATATATTTTGGGTTTTTGGGGTTTTATTAAGTTTTTAAAGGTGGTTTTTTTGGGTTTTTTTGATAACCCTAATCTATCATGACCGGACTATTAGACTGGTCAATTGGACAGCATATGTATTGCTATTAACTACTAATTAAAAATATAAAAAACTTCTGTTCAAAAAAGAAAAACTCCAACCTGTAATTTTTTTCAACTATATATATGGAACCCTAGAACATGCGTTAGAAACCCTGATATATTGGTAGTGGTGTAGTGGTAGAGCGCTCGCTTCATAAACGAGTGGTTCCGAGTTCGATCCCCACCACGTCCTTGGTAGTACCGCGCTCAACTCGTTTCTCCGCGCAGCGGCCTTGTTTGTCAAGGTTCGTGTTTCGGAGTTATAGAGTTGAGAGAGGGTTATAGCCACAAAATAAGTAGCCTCCTCGTTTGTAGTGGCCTTCTCGGCCTTGAGGAGGTGAAGTAAAATTAAAAAAAAAAAAAAAAAAATATTGAACAATATTCTTTGAATTATTTAAATTTAATGACAATATTACATACAATCAATAATTTATGTAAAATTAGGAAAATAACTCTGAAAAAATATGTTATTTAACACAAATAAATTTACACAATTACAATTTCTGTATAAAAAGGTTAAGAAAAACACAACGATAATGTAAACACTTGAATGAATTATTACTGATCAGTATTATTCAATATTGTAATAAAAACTCTATGTTTACAAATGTGATGAAAATTACTTTATAATCAAATGTAGAAATAATTACTCAAAAAATCTTGTTAAACTAGCTTTAATTAAAGAGTACTTAAGTATTTGAGAAAATTATGAATAGCAAAAAAAATTCAACCCAATTATGAATATATATATATATGTATATATATATATATATATATATATATATATATATATATATATATATATATATATATATATATATATATATATATATATATATATATATATATATATATATATATATATATATATATATATATATATATATATATATATATATAGTTGCATTGGAAGGTTTTTAAATGTTTAAAATAACTAACTTATAAGCAACAAGAATATTCCAAATTTTTTTATGTTCATATGTATGACAAAAAGATTTAAAATAAAAAAAATACTGTGATAAGAGAATGGGAACATGAAACCCTAAAGCTTAGCCCCCCTTGCCCTAAATGTGAGAGCAACAAGTTGATGAAATATTTTTTGTACTATTTTCAACTCGACTTATATTCATATGGATGAATATAAGTTGAAAATGTGAGAATGTATGAATGTATATGTATATATATATATAT